GCTGGGATCATCAAAGGCCTTTAAAAGAAAAAAACCCTTTTTTTTCTTTTAAATGTCTCTGACGATCAAGCAACTCAGTTTGGATCGTCAGAGGCATTTAAAAGAAAAAAACATTTTTTTCTTTTAAATGCCTCTGATGATCCAAGCTGAGGTTGTAGAAAAGGTCGCTGAAGAGATTGTAGAAAAAATGCTTTTAAAAGTAAAAAAAAAATAAAAATGGCCACGCCCACATTACCCCCTCCCACCAAGCCACGCCCACAGAATCGGTAGTAACAAATTTTAGATTTCACCACTGGACCAAGCTCATTTATACATTTATATATGTCTTGTTTAGCAAGATAAATTTTAGGCTCAATTGTGATCGTATGTCAAAGACTACCTGTATTTATGAATTCTCCATGTCATGTCATTTTGGGTCTCCATCAAGGGAAAAGAGGTAGAGCCAATCTTCTAGCATTTGATCTCAATCAGCCTCAAATGGAAAGCACAGCAGTCATAAATAAAAAAAGACAATATTTTCTTCTTTATTGATATTGTTAGATAAAGTTATTAGTGTGCATAGCATTGTATAAAGTATGAGGGAGCAAGTCCATGCCCAAAGAATCTACCAAATGGGATGCTCAGCAACAGTAGAACAGAAGTTCTGTTAGAATAGACTATACAGCAGAACATAATAATATACAACAATATATTTAGAATAGACCACAGATTAACATGATTCTCCTGCAACTGTAGGAGAAAGAGAGGTAAACAAGGAAACAATAGGCAGTGTTTCATATATGAGGCTCATGACAGACTAGAATAATCAGAAAATAGTTGAATGAATCTGAACAGAGACAAATGCAAAGTTTTTACCTTTGGAAGTAGAAAGTCAAAAGTTTCTGTGAATAGTAATTGGTTACAAGTTGAGTGTGGGTCAGAAGTGGATGTGGTGGGATTCAAATTTTTTACTACCTGTTCTGTGGGTGTGGCTTGGTCGGCGTGGCTTGGTGGGCATGGCAGGGGAAGGATACTGTAAAATCTCCATTCCCTCCCCACTCCAGGGGAAGCTTACTGCAAAATCTCCATTTCTTCCCGATCAGCTGGGACTCGGGAGGCAGAGAATAGATGGGGCGGGGCCAGTCAGAGGTGGTATTGAATGCTGGTGCAGAAACCAGCATTAGACCTGGCCAGAATGAGGCATCGCGACACGAAGTGAGGTGAGACCAGTGGAGGAGCCAGGAGGAGCCAGCAACCTGAGGGCCACTAGCTAAAGCTAGTTTCCCTCCTGTGGTGCACCAAGGATAGGTGCGCAAGTGCCAAACGGAATGAATTAGCAATCTAGGCTGGCAGGACTGCATTGTGTCTAGCAAGTGTAGAATTCCCTGACATGTTTGTATGCAATATGTTAAATAAATGAATAAATAGTGAACAGAGCAAACAGAATTTCGATAAGATTGTTAAGAAGGCTGTATGAAGAGCCATGGTGGCACAGTGATTAGAATGCAGTGTTGCAGGCTGACTCTGCTCACTGCCAGGAGTTCGATTCTGACCGGCTCAAGGTTGACTCAGCCTTCCATCCTTCTGAGGTCAGTAAAATGAGAACCCAGATTGTTGTGGGTAATATGCTGACTCTGTAAAACCACTTAGAGAGTGCTGTAAAGCACTATGGAGTATCTAAGTGTGAATTAATGGGAAACTAAAGCATATAGAAACTGCTGTGTGAATTAATAGGAAACTAAAGCATATAGAAACTGCTGTGTGAATTAATGGGAAACTAAAGCATATAAAAACTGTTCCAGGTGTGACTACAGAGGATGATTAAAAAAAAAAATCAAGATAGTGGCTGTGATGTTATGATCAAACTTTTCCCTGTTTTTTCATGTATATCACCATCTTGAGGGTTTTTTTTAACTACACCTCATAGACATTCCTGCTAAATTCCATGAAGAAAGTCTGAAGGAATATGAAAAGCTTAATCATGACAGAAGAAGATTGGCAAGAGATAAGTCGGCAGTTTTTAACTATCTAAAAAGAAGTCACAACTATTCTTTATTGTCCCGAAGTGTAGGACATAGAATAAAGGATTAAATCACAGCAAGGCAGATTCTAATAATTTTAAAAAAGAGGAAGAAAACCCAACGTTGATATCCCAATTTCAAATAAATCCAGATATACTTATTTTCTATTAATGTGCAATACAATGTTTATGCTGCCTCCTGTGGCTGGCTCATGTCAGATGTAGATGACATGCTCTATAAAATGAATTCATGAACCAATAATGCTAACGAAATACCGAAAGTTGAATAAGAGGTGAAAAATACAACTAAATATTCAAAGCCATTAAAGATATGAAAAGGTATCTAGTGCCAGCTCGTTTTATAATCTGCTGCCATCTCCTGGCCAGGTTCACGAACTGCACCTCAACTCAGGAAGGTGTGCTTAGAAATGTTTTTTGTGTACAGTATTCCAGTAACTATGATGGCAACATCCTGATGCTTCCCTCCCTCCCTCCCACGGCAGGATGGAGAGGAGGCCAGTTAAACATTTCACCATCATTTTGGAGGGACCTGGTATGAACTTGACCTTTTCAGATAAAAGGTCCATCTGATATTTGCCTTGAGGTGCAAAAATATTTTGCAAGTGAAGACTGTACTTCATGGTATTTTCCCTCCTCCCTTTCCAATGAATCAGAAAAACAGGAAAAAGGAGGGAGTGTTCTGTTCAGGGCAGAGATGTTACTCAGCATCTCAAGTTATTCCTTAATAAATAGGGAAGATGTAAGTGAAAGGTTGCACTTCTGCTTCCTTTTTCAGAGAACTCAGATAGTTTATCAGTGGGCCTTGCTTCCATTTTTAATCAGCCTTTATATGGGACCTAAAATTATATAAACTCTGCATGTTCCCAGAGTGCTTCCATTCGGCAGGTTAAGTATATAGTCACCCTGCTTCATTCATGTCATTTTACAAAGCTAAGGGTCCAGTCATTTTCTATTTATAGTCCTCTCAATCTTTTCCCAGAATTTCTCCCCCCCCACTTACTATGCTTCTTGATAAATTTTTCCCGTCAGTGCTACTAAAAAACAAAAGAAAAGAGTGAATTGGTAAACTCTTTACAACATTCCGTGAATGAAACACAATGAATGGGAAAAACAAGACACAATCAAATATAACTAGGGAGGCACCAAAAATCATTAAATAACAACATGGAATAGTAGAACAGTGAGTTTGGACTGATGCACCAGTGACAGATAGATGGTGAGGATGATAGGTAGGTAGGTAGTAGGTAGGTAGATAGATAGATAGATAGATAGATAGATAGATAGATAGATAGATAGATAGATAGATAGATAGGCAGGCAGGCAGGCAGGCAGGCAGGCAGGCAGGCAGGCAGACAAACAGGCAGACAAAATTTTTAGCAGCACTTTTAAAAGTAAAAATAAAACAAAGTAATTGTGATGGAATGTGCACTTCAGGAGCAGTGGAGGAGAGTTTTGGCAACACAAAACTTCCTCAGAAGGTAGGCCCATATTAAGAGATTGAGCAGTCCCAAGATGGATGGCAGAGGGAGGAAGAGTTCAGGTGTAGCCACACTCTAGAATCCCCAAGGATGTATTTAGTAGGTTAAAAAGTTATGGCTTTAGTTTGGCAAGATTCTGTCTATTAGATGTAAGCAAATAAAGGATTGAACTTGGTTAGATCTCACTGTGCTGTCTGTGGGTTTAGGCCTTACAGCAATATAAAATAATCTGTGGACTGTCAGACTCCTGAATGTGAAATAACATCATAACTACGTAGTACAATGGACTTGAGGGCTGTTGCAGCATGTAATATGTTCACACTGTTGCAATAGGACTGGATGTTTGGTTAACCTCAGGGTTCCGACGGCGAGCCAATGTCACCTTGCTGTGCCCAGGGGTAGGGCGTTCTCTGTGGGTGCTCCCACCCTCTGGAATGAATTACCTACTGAGCTCCGGACGGCTCCTGATCTCCGCTCCTTCCGTCGGGACTTGAAGACTTGGCTTTTCAAACAAATAGGCTGAGACTGATTCCGGGCTTTATTATTTACTACTAATTAATTATTTGGATTAAATTATGATTTTATTGTACTTGTTTCTTAACTTGTGTTCGCCGCCCTGAGTCCTTCGGGAGAATGGCGGCATATAAATACATGTAATAAATAAATAAATAAATAAATAATATGATTTATTGGGTTAGGGATTTTTTGTCTTCACTGTGAGTTGTATTGTGTTGGGGGGGAGTGCACTGAGGGAGCTCAACCAATCTCATTGTACATATGTTGGGCACTGACAATAAAGATTTGAAATGTGAAAATAAGGAAGAAAAAAGCCCCCCCAAAAGTAAAGGGAAAGCAAAAAGTGCAAGAAAAAGAAAAAAAGTTAAAGAAAAACAGAAAAGAAAGAAAAAAGGTACAAAGATGTGGCTTATGATATTCTTTACAACATAAGTATATTAGTACAATTATAAGTGTTATAAGAACAATTATATTTTAACCTCTCTCTCTAAAGTTACATTACAATATTGCTTTTTCTGCAAGATCCAATCTGGATCAGTTTCTGGGACCAGAGATTTAGTCTTTCGAGCTTTCGAACTGATGGTAGAGCCCATCCTCAGGGAACTTCTCTCTACCAGAATGTGTAGACTCTTTTTTCTATAATCTACCCTATCTAATCATCAAAACCATAAATCCCAAATTCATTTTTTGCACAAAAAGTCCACAAGAAGTTTCAATAAATGTAGATATATATGTGTCAGTGTTTTTGAGATGTCATTAAAAGTACTCAGTACTTTAAGTCTCCAAAACTTGTGGAGAATCCATTTTCACACAATTCTTGATTTGAGGGGCTTCCCTGCTTGTGGGTTTCATTTTCTCAAAGCGTGAGAGGGTTTGATGGTTTTTTAGCTCTCCTTCCCAAAAACGTTAGGAAATTGAAATAAAAACAAAAAACAACCTGCCCGCCCCCAAACAAATGCATAAAGCAAGAAGGATGTGGACTAGAAGAGGAACAGAAGCGACCAATTTTATTTCTCTTTTCCATAGAATATGAATAAGGCTTCTTTGTTTTTGTTCTTGCTACTGAGGGATATGCAAAAGATCAGGACAGAACAAGTAAGTTTTGCTTCTTGTTTAACATTTTGAAATTGGCAGGTTTAAAGATATCGTAGATAGATTTCACTTCTTAAAAGTGTTGTCAAGATATTGGGAAATAAAAATCATATGGAGTATAGAGATGTTCTCCTTTTGGAAACCCCCTCACTGCTGTTCTCTCCTAGCTTCACATGGTCAGCAAGTAATGTGATTTTTCTAGGCACTATATGCCACCAAGGGGGAGAACCTTGAGTGCTTTTCTGAAATTCAAACTTTTCTCATCCTATCAATTAAATGATATCCTACCATATTCTTGTCTGCTGCTGGCTCGTTGAAAATTCTAAAGCCAGGGACATGAGGGCATCCTCTTGTTTCTTTCCTGCATCTTATTGAAATGTAATTTTTTTTTCTCTGTATGTCTATGGAGATTTTCAGTCATTCAAGCCATATTTGTCCCAAATGTTTTTTTTTTCTTTTTCTTCTTGGATGAGAAGCAAAGCATCATCAAGGAAAACAAATGAAATCCAGTTGCCTTTAAAAAAAAAAAAAAAAGCATTTTTGGATTTTTCTCTGCATATTTTTATTGAACTCAGTGAGATGATGTTACTTCCTTGAAGGCAAAGCATCACTCCCTGTGATAGTTTTAAATATCAGAATATAGCTGGAATATAGTTTCATCCATCAGTGTTGACTCAAGGGTATATAATGCCTCTGGGCCACATGGACTGATGGTGCTATCTCTGGTTGATGTGAAGATTTGCATTTTAAGAATTAATTGGAAGGACATGCTTCATAAGCTTTAGCACTCTAGACCAGTGGCTACTTGATGTTAGCCTATAGCTGGCCTTGCTCTTCATGTACACTTCCTTAGACCAGGGGTCACCAACCTTTCGGACCTCAGGGACCACTAAATTCATAATTTTAAATCCCATGGACCACTAATATGATCTGCCTAATAACCAGCTGGACGGGCGTGGCTATGTGCTCATTTCACTGGGTGGTCGTGACTAACTCCTCCCTCCCTGCCCGGGCTCCTTAGGGCCCTAACAGGAAGCAGTTGTTGGAGCTAAGCAGCCACCATGAGAAAGAGTTGGCAAAACAGCTGGCTCAGTTCAAACTGGATCTGACCGAGAAGGAGGCTCAGCAGAAGCACCTCACTGAGGACTAGGAGCATAGGTTTTCCAAGCAGAGGGAAGACCTGTGGGAGTGCAAAGTCAGGTACCAGTGCCTGGAGGCTCAGCGGGCTGAGATGGTCAGCCAGTTCCAGATCATGATACAGTCCCATTGGAACAAGGCCCTCCGGTTTTTCGCCACCAGCGGCACTTCCCTCCAGCCTTCGCCCAAAGCCCCACATACCAGGAGGCCAAAGCAGACCCCAAGTTGGAATTTCTCCCCCCTCCAACCCACACAAAAGGACCTTGAAGGGGGAGACTCTCTGTAGCAATACAAACATTCATTGCACCTATCCGTCCCAGGGGCCCCTGATTTAGTGCAATATTAAAAATGCAAATAATTTTTCTGTGGACCACCAAAAATTTTTCACCGACCACCAGTGGTCCACGGACCACCAGTTGGTGACCTCTGCCTTAGACAACTGCCTTCTTTATTCCCGATGACCCTGTTCTTATCCATGCAGTCATTAATTATTGAGACAACATTTGTGTTTGAGATAATTAAATATTTCTGTAAACACTACAGACAATTTGTAACCCAGTTTTCTATGTTGGAGACTGCACTAATACAAATCAGTCCCCAAATATAAGCAACAATACGGATAGGTAAATAGCTCTTAATGGGTAGGTACTTCATGTCTCTAATTGTAGAGGAAATTGTGAATATATTCTGAGCACTTTAGATTATATAAAATGCTACTGTATTTTGGTCCCCTGAAGACCTTTCTCCTATTAGATTCCCCTTATTAGATTCATTGGGACAGTGATAAGTAAAAGAGGTTAAAAAATATACTTTTCACTCAGAAAAGATGACAGATTGGCTCATGTATAAACAAATAAATCTGTGGTGTTAATTTTATAACATCAAAGAAAGTCTGTGAAAGGAAATTGCTGAGAAGAGAAGAAAAAGAAATAGGTAATAATTCTAAAATTTACAAATTCTAATCTTTAGGAAATCTAAGGAAAAAATTGAGGGACAGAGGTCTTTCTGCAGTCAAGGTACAGATCGTGCAGGGTTATTCATCTTTTTAAAAAGAAGTTAATAAAATTTACTCACTTTCCAAATAATGGCAATGAACAAAGAAGGCAAAGTATTAGGGACCTAGGAATATTTGCAGCATTGACACACATGTATTATTAAAGCCAAGGTTTGTCCCTATGAGCTGTCTGAATGATAAGTGAATTAGAAGTCCTCTTTAAACTGTTCTGAGTTTTCTGAAAGAGCAATGGATAAGTGGAACTGAGGTCTAATCAGACTGGAAGGAATTGGTAGGTTGCCAATCTCTTTTGATAAGTACCTAATACATTACTCATCAAATTTCCTTTTCCACCACGAGAGATCAAAAACTTCCACAATTTTTAAGGCATTGCTGGAATATTGCCTTTAACATTTTGCACTTTTGGTTTACTTGCTATGTGGACCAGTGGTGGGTTTCAAATTTTTTTACTACTGGTTCTGTGGGTGTGGCTTGGTGGGTATGGCATGGCTTGGTGGGTGTGGCTTGGTGGGCCATTCCCACCCCACTCCAGGGGAAGGATACTGTAAAATCTCCATTCCCTCCCCACTCCAGGGGTAGGTTATTGAAAAAACCCCATTTCCTCCCAGTCAGCTGGGACTCGGGAGGCAGAAAATAGATGGAGGGCGGGGCCAGTCAGAGGTGGCATTTACCGGTTCTCTGAACTACTCAAAATTTCTGCTACCGGTTCTCCAGAACTGGCCAGAACCTGCTGAAACACACCTCTGATGTGGACATAAAAAATAACTATTTTAGCAACCTCTAAATATGGCCACCTTCTCTATATTTTTTGCTTTTTCTCAAAAGTGGGAAAAGTAATACATGAAGTATTACTTTCAGGAGAAAACCACACAAGCAATACAAGGATTAGCTAGCCTCAAAGATCACAGAAGCTATGAGTTGTCCTCTGAAGAGACTAGAGTGATGTAGTAAAATCTGGAGACGTTCTCTATTCTGGAAATAGAAACAGTTCATCTTTTTACATCTTGGAAACTCCATTTCTCTTAATCCCAATTTTCAGGAATATCCAAAAATTTGTCTGTCAGATTCTACTATGGCCTTCTTGTAAGCTAGGGGCATCAAATAGCCTAACTTTCAACATCCCTGTCCTCAGGCATTTCCTTAAAGGGAATGGTACCTTGCCACACTCCTGGACTGAGAATTCTGGGATCTGACTTTCCCAGATGTTTTTTTTTTTAGCAGCATTGTAATATTTTTTCAAACTATTGAAAGTTGAATTATGAGTATGTAGTAACATGTCGCTTCATTGCAGTTTTTATCAACATTTAAAACATTCGCCATTTAAACTTGTCTGTGCATGTGGTTGGAGATGCCAATATCTTTTTCTGGCACCATCTCCTCACCTGAGCTTTTCTTGCTCCCAGATGCTGAGCAGACAATTCTTTGCCCCTTAAAGACAGGAAAATGTAGTCTCAGTTTTCCCACTCCTTACTTCTTCTCTGAATATTCATTAGTAGCAATTTTCATCTCTGGCTGTTGCTACATTAAGATCTTATCTTCATATCTTATTAAATATTTTTGGGGGGATATTGAGAAACTGACATTTGTTGGGGTTTGTTTGTTTTTTCTAAATCTCATTTTTGCCTCTAGAGTCCCATATTTTGCAGATTTAAAAAAAGAGCAAGATAAGAGGAAAAATATCAACGTCAACAACTAGAAAAAGAGCTGTAAGGCGATTAGAATCAGTTCTCTGTGCTAGTATTGCTGTCTCAAGTTCTGTAAAATCCCCAATTCTTGAAAATTAGTCTTAGGACCTGCCTTCACATGCCTTCTATGAACTACTGCATATCAGGTACAGTTATGACCCTAAAAGAATGCATAAGGTAAAATGCTAAACACTGGGTTATTTAACAGATCTGTCAGGTAAAAAGGTTCTCGGATTACCCATTGTTGATTTGAATGTATGGGACTGTGTGCATGTACACACATATGAACTTATGTTATATCCTTGAAATGTTTTTTTGTGAGACAAAAATCCTGCAGAAAAGAAAAATAATCAATAATGTGCCAGGTTTAATACTAGATGAGAACCTCACACACTAGTTTTCTATGTTTTAATCTGGAAAAGTTCTAGAAATGCTGGAGATGGCATTATCCACAGACTTCTTTACATGGCTTTAAGACAGGGGTCCCCAAACTTGGCAGCTTTTTTTTTTTAATTTGATTTATATGCCGCCCTTCTCCGGAGACTCAGGGCGGCTTACAATGCGTTAAGCAATAGCCTTCATACTTTTGTATATTTATACAAAGTCAGCTTATTGCCCCCACAAACTGGGTCCTCAATTTACCTACCTTAGAAAGGATAGAAGGCTGAGTCAACCTTGAGCCTGGTGAGATTCGAACTTACAGTAATTGCAGACAGCTGGTATTAATCACAATGCTATCAGTCTGTTGAGCCACCAGGCCCCTAGCTGGCTGGAGAATTCTGGAAGTTGAAGCCCACAAGTCTTAAAGCTGCCAAGTTTGAAGACGTCTGCTTTAAGATATTGTCAAGATCCTGAGTAATTTCACTGTATTGTCTGCTTTGGGAGTTGTCAAATTCTACTCTGTTTTATGGGAAACTACAGTATAACAATATTCATTTCCCTTTGAGTTTCTGCAAACTTTCTGGGCAGGCAGCTGAAACTCTTTCCATTTTCTGGGGTTTGCATACACCCTATAAAGATGCAGTATCCTGTTCTTCTATCTTCTTCATAGATAGAACTCATCTCCTTCCTTCTTTCACTCTTTCACGATTGCCACCACAGCAAGAGAATGGTTGCATGGTCGCATTTGAGAAAAATGCCTAATTATAAAACTATCAACATGCTATGATTTCCCAATTCACAAGAGCTTTTGAATGCAACAGAGGAATGTTAGCAAGGCAGTTGGGAAACCTTTCATTGCTTTTAAAACAAAAAAACCCAAAGCAATTAACTGGTTTGTTATTGCAATAGCTTTTTATCATAGCAGCCTCTTAGAATTTTAGGCAAATCACCAGATAATTGCACATAGAATAGTGTGTGTGTGTATATATTAATTCATTATGGTTTCTGGGGGTGAAGGAATGTTTGCTACTGATTTTGTCTTCTGCTATTGGTCACTTAGAGAGGACTGATTGGCTCATGGATGTCCCCAGTGAATTCAAGGTCAGAAGAAATTAAGGCAAAGTTTCCAGCTGCTTTGTGGGGGGTTGGTGGGTGGAAATTCAGACTGTGTGGATGTGCCCTGTCTTTAGTGTTTTGTAAAAGTGTTTTCTGGGGAAGAATTATGCAACACTCCCTATTTACCATGAAAGCAGCTTTACAAAATGAAATAATGCTTGTGTTATGCTGGTTTTGAGA